AAATAAAGTATTATCTTTATTATGTAGATGGATGCCACTACGCCTAAATACTCGAAGTCTAGGTATGATGAAATTGTGAAGGAAGTGGCATCCTACATCAAGAAGGTCGGATACAACCCTGACAAGATCCCATTTGTCCCCATCTCTGGTTTCGAGGGTGACAACATGATTGAGAGGTCCAGCAACCTTGATTGGTACAAGGGCCCAACCCTCCTCGAAGCTCTTGACCAGATTCTGGAGCCCAAGAGACCCTCAGACAAGCCTCTCCGTCTCCCACTTCAGGACGTCTACAAGATTGGTGGGATTGGAACTGTACCTGTCGGCCGAGTTGAGACTGGTGTTATCAAGCCTGGTATGGTCGTCACCTTTGGCCCATCTGGTTTGACAACTGAAGTCAAGTCTGTTGAGATGCACCACGAGGCCCTCCAGGAGGCTCTCCCCGGTGACAATGTTGGGTTCAACGTCAAGAATGTTGCAGTGAAGGATCTCAAGCGTGGTTATGTTGCCTCCAACTCCAAGGATGACCCTGCCAAGGGTGCTGCCAGTTTCACTTCCCAGGTCATCATCATGAACCACCCTGGTCAAATTGGAAACGGTTATGCCCCAGTGCTCGACTGCCACACATCCCACATTGCTGTTAAGTTTGCTGAGCTCCAGACCAAGATCGACAGGCGTTCTGGTAAGGAGCTGGAGAAGGAGCCCAAGTTCTTGAAGAACGGTGATGCTGGTCTTGTTAAGATGATTCCCACCAAGCCCATGGTTGTGGAGACTTTCGCAGAGTACCCACCTCTTGGACGGTTTGCTGTGAGGGATATGCGCCAGACAGTTGCTGTTGGTGTGATCAAGAGCGTGGACAAGAAGGATCCAACCGGTGCCAAGGTCACCAAAGCTGCTGCTAAGAAGGGTGCCAAGTGAAGAAATTTCATGTTATCGATTATTCACATTAGCTATTTTCAAGACATCTTTTGCATTTTTGATTATTATGGTTTTTCCTGATGCTCTATCTGGATTGCCATTTCTTGTTTTGGTTTATCATGAGTTGTAAGACCTATTTCAACATCTTTTAATTTATGTTTTTCTTCCGAAGTCATAGTGGCATTTGAATTTTAGCTGGATTGATTTCTTGCCTTGAAGCGCTTTCAAGATTTTTTTTGAAGAGTATATTCGATTATTGAAGAGCACTTATAAATTTAGAAAGAAAATTTTAAAAATTTTGAATTACTTAACCAAAAATAATTTTACTATTTTTAAAAAATATATTTTTTAATTTTTTTTCCATTCTTTACTTTAATTAAATTTTTTAAAGTTTATTATATATTTTTCTACATTGATACAGAAATATGAGCGTTGAATGAATTACGCTAGATGTATATTGTGCTTTATACCCTTGTTGACATTCTCTTCTATATGAAAGAAACTTGTGCAGTGATGTAATAGATGGATTCAAAATAAATGTGTTATAAGTACGGAAAAGAGGTCACGGAAACTATACAAGAATTCAAAATAAATGGCATGATGGGGGGGGGGGGGGGGTGAG